CTTATTCCCCATCAATCGTAGATAAAGTTGCTGTATGAAATATTACCTATATCACGTCGACCCTATCCTATTTATCTATGAAAGATGATGTCTGAGCAGATAGATGGAGCGTACAATTATGTTCCTTCTGATGACTGAAATCCTCACTGCAATGGCTTAGATCTTGGAGCATATTATGCGGATGAAATCATATTTGCTATAACGAGTCACAATAAGCATATATGATGTAGGAGAAGTGATAATTAAGATCGATGATTGTTACTTAAAAAAAGATGAGAGGTCTTTACACTTCAATTTGATACGGAATAGATGGATTAGGACTCATCCTAATAGAACGATGAAGCAATAGTCCACGCAGATTCGAACTAATGAATATGAGACAAATGGTATGTCTCCGGATAGCATGAGATACGAGTATAACAAGACTTGGACTCAGAGTTAATTATGTTGAACCTGATACCTACCAAGATAGCGAATAATATTAATGATTGACCATGCGGATCATGGAAAGACATCTGACAGTCAGTAATTATGACGAACGATATGGAAGTGGCAAAAGGTAGATGTAAGATGATGCCACAAGCGTTAGCCCCAAGAAAGCCACCGTACATTTTCCGAATTGTGACACACAGATAATTAAAAACAGTTGACTAAGCGTAAAAAATATCTGCCATTATGATATATCCCCAATCGCCTTTTACATATAATACAAAATTCAATGATATAATGTTTTTAAAAAATTGAATATTGCGATTTTCAGAGTTTAAATTCGAGTAGATATATAAGTAATTCGACGCATGTTCTATAGATCGATCCGAGATGCAATCATTTAGGTTTTGGAAGTCTTTTACGAGGTAGCTTAGGCAAAGAGGGCGTTAAAATTATGTATGGCACGCTTGCAATGGTCTTAATAACTATTTATAATATACAACACTCAGACTCATTACCGAGTTTACCTTTTCTCATCAAACAACCAAGGACTTGAGCTACCGTGACGGAAAGATTCCAATTTTATTCAGTTTAGGCCAGGAATGTCGAGATCGCCTAAGATATCTCGACTCCGATGAAATGCAGTGATCTATTAATGGAAAGGAGATCCAAATGCACTGGGATAATATGACGCATTTCTATTTAGTTCTTAAGATTGCTTGAGCAATCCGAAGAACAGATCAGTAATATAAAAGAAATTGGACATGGAGCAATTAACTACAAGTTAGATCGGGCGACCTCAGACCAAGATCGCCAAATAATCATATCCCTTTTTAGAGTTTCCCGCACATGCGTCATTAAACATTAGCCCAAAATTACACCCGATTGACATCTCTTAAGGTCGTAACAAATTTTACAAGATGTTTCAACCGTTGCGTACACAAATTGAACGAATGATACTAAAATACACATGGATCAGATTATCACTTCAATAAGTTGGCAAGTCTAGCATCCGTGGGAAGTGAACAAATAAGTTTGCATATATTAACCCCAATCCACCAAATTTATAATTTAATAATCATCCTTTAGATCTAACAACATCGTGTTGGTCGAGAGTCTTGTTAAATTAATGGTGACCGTGATTGCCCTGTGTTTGTCACATAGTTTATCAGAAGATAGGTCGAAAAAGGAGATGTTATTAGAAAGACATTTCGATAGATAGAGAGCAAGCGATTCATAGAGATATAAAGCGGTAGGAAAAGGGACGGAGGACCTCTTATTTGAACCAATACTGTAAGGGTGGCTCAAATGAAGGCGTGACTAACATTCTCTTTCGATATATGCTACTACCTTACGCTTGCTATACATGTATTATTTTTTTTGATTCGGATTCGTCTTGATTGGACGATTGTAATGCCAACTAGGTACGGTCCATTTAGTCGCACCGACTCTAGTATAGCCTCGCCATTATTTCTCATTATCTGTATTTCAGGGCCTCATCTTCCTCGTTTTAATGTTGCTGACTTAAACAAGTCCGTTTTGCTTATCGGATCATCATTTCCACGCCAAAATTTTGAAGTAGTCGTGTCTTGATCAATCAAAACCCGCTCGATGTATTATTATTATCATCAATTGTCAATTATTAAGCACACGAGTACTTCAAAGAATGTAGGTCTCGTTACGTCTTTCGCCTTTTCTGACGCTAGATAAAAGCTAAACGTCCCTGTACGATCTGTATTTGCGCTTGTCAATTTGTAATCAACTCGTCTCGTGCACAAAACAATGAACGGCATTACCAACGCCCATATCATAATAATATGCATGTCAGTTTGCGCACTAGCGATTTTCGACCGCATCTGAACCCAACATTTATATTATAGCATCATCAAACTCAGGTTAGTATTAAAATGATGTGAGCATGTCTTATTGTCCGCCTAATGCAGACTTTCTATGTGATTCGAATCATTTATTAACAGTTACCATCGCTTTTGTTGTGGGCATGCGTTTTTATCAATCTATCTATCTAACGTTATAGATAAACGCTAATCTGTAATTGGAGCCTTATTAACCCGATGAACTTCTTTCAAATTACATCGACCAGTACCATTCTGAAGTTTTTGCACCTAAAAGGACACACATCACCCGCATAGGTCGTTGTGCATGTAGGAAAAAAATGCTGAGATCACTATTACCCTTGTTTCGCTGAAAAATGCGTTGTATAGTTTGACCCTAGCGAGTGACGTAATAGTCCCTAGTGGAAAAATAAGTATGGACATATGCGTTTTCCTCGACCTCAAAGCATTAAGCTCTGTTATCAGTATGACACTATAAATTAGCACGATCGTCGTGTTCGCTAACGCTAGTTCAGTCGTTTTCAGTTTGACAGCACATTTCAGTTTGACAGCACATTTCCGCACAATAAAGCTTTATAAATTATTTGTAGCGACTGTCGCTTAATGTAGCCCTACACTGGTATAGTCTCTTAGTTTCAAAGTACATCTCCGCATAACTAATTGTGTCAAATTGTTTGTAGCGACTATCATTGAGTGCAGCCGCTCCTTCAAAAGATATGAACTGTCTCGGTGTGAGTCATACAATGTGACTAAGGTGCACCTCTATGCTATGAATTAATAGATCTTCGAAGACGTTTCGACGGATTTATGAAACGATGAATATGACGAATTCACTGCGAATAGATCTGCTATACCAAATTTGATACAACTTGATGGCAACTCAATCTGAACAACATACGGGTGGTAAGAAAAGTATTCTAAGAGTTGTACGCTGGAGGTGTTCTATACTTTTAGAATCCCAACTTCACAGCCAAATATCCAAGCGTTCGCAGTTACTTCTAGCGGGATTTTTACGGTGTGTATCTCGGGATAACATTGTGGCACCGATGCCGTTCTAGAGCATTTTAGATCACATTGCTACGCGGAGAAGCACCCGAAAGAATGATCTGGTTATTTGTCAATAGATTAAACACGATCGAGGTCGCGTCCAATTAATATCAACCCTTGCCGGTATCATACAATTTCTTTACCTTTAATCACGTTTGTTTTCATATATGTGCCATTACCATCCAGCGACAGTATTATGTTGCCTTGACATCGATTGGTCCTGTAAAGCGAATCGAAGCAGCATCCTAAGTCTGTTTGCTTTCATCGTCTCGCGTGTGTGAGCTATTGCATCATATCTTCTTTGTTAGCATCAGACCGGATGTCGCCCCTATTGAAATCAAAACTGTGACTGCTATTCTTTACATTGCATGATCAATTCAGAATAGGTACTGCCTTCGTACAAATGGGCTAAAGCCATACGTTCTAGATTCATACGAGTTGAAATCAACTCTTTTTCCACTCATATATGAGAAATGTCAGATTCGAGAGAGTAGGTAGGATAATGTAGGAAACTCGTAAACACATCGCAGACAAATTGTGATGCACAAAGGACGCATGACATATAAGATAAGCTTATGGAAGCATACCATACCCGTTTCAGCCCGCCGCCGCGGACCTCCTTAGTCGACCGCAGAGTGCGTTTCGTCGGTGCTGCACCCTTTTCCACTGCAACGCATCGATCGATGTACCGATCTATGTAGAACGATATCACCCACAGAGCAACCTCACTGGCGTGCACTCAAAACCCGGATTGATAGGAAGTAAGACTGTTTATCACAAACACTAGTTCAAGTTATGTCTTAAGTTGAATCGGACGTCTTCGTTGCTACCATCCTTGCGATGAACATTGAAGAGTGATGCTGCGTAGACGCAAGATGTTAATACCATGACACTGTGTTCAAGACTCACCTTTAGAATTGTTATGGGTCAATTGTTTTGCGTGGGTAGCAATCGGGTGCGTGCGGGGTTACTCTCTTGCTGTATTTTAAAGATAGTGTGTTCACAAGAAACTTTAGTTATGCCTAAAGACATCATTCTTCGTTTGTCACTTATAACGGATATACAGGGCCTTATACATGTTTCACCCGACACACGGACAAGCATAAAACCGCTATACACATAGGAACTGCCGCAAAGTTCGTCGTAAACCATACGCATAAATATCAGTCGCAACTTCACTTTTTAGGGCTCGCGCTGATGCTTTAAGGAACATGTACCACAATTGCGGACTGCTGAGAAGAAGTAGCGATCTAGCTTCTTCAGGCGTCGACCTAGCAAGGCTGACGATGTGAATGGATGCGAAGGACTGGTTATACAAGCATGCGTTGCGATGGAGGGTGAGAAGTACTTCAAAAAAAGAAATGATGAAAATCGCTACAGTATGAGGATTCGATAACGAGACACAGATGACCTGTTTGTAAGCTCAGCCAAAAAGCTAAGGAAACGAGTGACGTGTATTGTATACGATCGGTAACACTGTAACGGTACGTATCGAGGTACTGTATGAGAACATGTGGAACGGAACCTGTAACGTATGGCAATAGATTACGCAACAAGATAGACAAAGCCAACAACACCTCCCAGAACGCTCATTTATTAGCCTCAGCATTGTGTTTACTAGACTACGACCCAAATCTAGCATGTGGTCCCACCCAATTCATGAAGCAGCGCTCAATTGTTTCTCGCTCGCTGTTTCGCACTTTCAGCAGGCTCTAGTTGGAAGACCTTCGCATAGAAATTATCGAAACTCAAATTGTGGACTGTGTTGGGGATGACTCCGATCGCCTGATGCCAATAGTTTTGCATTGTTCGATACTGTTCACTATTTTTGAATTCGTCGAGGTACTGTGTCTTGTGGTCGAGCCCCTTGCTGTCGAGCCATTTAATCCACAAATTCTTGAAGTGCTTGGACAGCTCATCATGTGCGGTTTTCTGCAACTGAACATCATCGACCGCTTCACGATGTATCATCTTGAAAAGATAGTCATACAGAGCACGCCTTGTATCCTGCGTGGACTCTGTGAACGCCGGGGGTTCTGGCATCGGCACGGGACGTTTTACCATCTTTCCCAGCCCGCGGAGTTTCATGACGGGCCTTGACCCGGTAATGGCCTTGACGACTCTTGACCCGGACACTTTCGCGGCGACGTTTCCCACATTGTTGCCCAGCGCTCGGCTTTCGCCACTGGCGGTCTCGTCAGCATCAGGATCGAAATCGCCACTCGTCGGAATGTCCGCGTTATCGCCACCGAGTGCATAAACCTGTAGCAGATTCTCCTTGGACGCGAAGACGATGATACCAGGCAGGAGCACCGCGTAAACAAGACGCATCGCTCACAGTGGGTGTGGAGAAGTGATCGCTGGAAGGAGAATGTGGGAATGACATGGAGCGAAGACCTCGAAGAACGCAAAGCGCCCGTCATCCAGCGTGCGATTCCATCCTGTCTTCAAGACATCCCGCCGTCTGACAATGAAGGACCAGACGATAGAAAAGGGCAAAACCCTTGCCCTCGCTCCTCCCCCTTCCTAATTCATGCTATTGTCCTTGCCCTAGTATGCAGCAGCTCAGCGCGTACCATCCTAGACGAAAAGTTAGTTCAGTGGAGATCGGCTTTTCGACTTGATTGTTGCATAACAGCTTCGCACGTAAACAGTCTAGAGGACGGCGCAGTCGTGCATTGTATGGACGCCGCCTCTCCCTTCTCATCACAGAGCACAGGACACTCGAGTACATCGCAAGGCGTCGTAGTGATCCTGCATCCCTCATCAAAAGGCGATTTGCCTCGCAGTAGCTGGTCGCCAGATGGGACTATCCACATCTTGAAGGAGAGGAGAGAAAAAAGCACGTCTGTCAATCACCCATTGTAGTGATGTGCAAGATATCTCTAGAAACTCCAATTTAGATAAAAGAGCGCCGGGTCTGGCTGAGATTCGTGGCAGTCCGTCGAGGGTAGCGAGTCGTCGCTAGGATCTAAGTAAAAAGTTCGAGACACGCGTGTAACGGAGCTGCTTGAGCCACACTAGCGGCGCTATCATGTTCACACTAGCTAACTCATTGAATTGACGCAAACGTGTCGTACAGAAGCAACAGACACATTCAGACGAAGCAAACTGAAAGCCTCGAAACACGGAGCCTTTGCGCTCACACTACAGTTGTGTGATGCAAGTTGAGCTGCTGGGGAATCAAATTCTTTCCCAAGCCCATTCCCTCGCCTCGACATCGACTTGAATCTCGTGAGCAGCCGATGTCCGCACGAGAGCCGGTCTCGCTGGAGCACGACGGGTCCCACAGTCATAGAAGTGACTGGACCCCGCTGGTCGAGAATCAGTAGCTCCCGTCCGTCCAGTGACACGAAACAACTTGCCCTGATTCTCGTGCGCCTTCGGACAGTCCCGAAAGACGTGCCGCGAATTTTCTGTCAATCCGTGACACCTCAGACTGCTCGGAGGCTTTGGCCTCTGGACGCTCAGCGGGCGACATATTTAGCTGCTTCGTGGCGACTCTACACGCTGTCCACACTTGGTAGTCAAATAGATTATTGTCATGGTTCCAGACCTGAGATTGGAGCTGTTGCGCCACTGCTTTCGTCCTTGCCCTAGTATGCAGCAGCTCAGCGCGTACCATCCTAGACGAAAAGCTAGTTCAGTGGAGATCGGCTTTTCGACTTGATTGTTGCATAACAGCTTCGCACGTAAACAGTCTAGAGGACGGCGCAGTCGTGCATTGTATGGACGCCGCCTCTCCCTTCTCATCACAGAGCACAGGACACTCGAGTACATCGCAAGGCGTCGTAGTGATCCTGCATCCCTCATCAAAAGGCGATTTGCCTCGCAGTAGCTGGTCGCCAGATGGGACTATCCACATCTTGAAGGACGGGTAGTATAGTGTATCCACGACCCGGATGAGAGGCAGGGCGCCGCTCCCAAGTGCCGCATCCTTACCCGGTACTTGGGCCATGCGGTCACGCAATGTGGCCATGCCCGAAACTTTTGCTGCATGCACTCCTCAAGCAATGGCGTCAATGTAGCGAGAGACGATACTCTGGCCAGCCCCCTCGTCTGTTAACGACACCTCTCCCGACTCCAAAACGGACAGGACCGTTGCAGAAGAGTTTCCCGTCATAAGACAGCAACCCCTGTCACATCGCACACAGCTGGCATCGCAGGTCCCGGTAACGGGGCGACCGTCGTCGACGTAGGCTCTGCAGGAGGGGGCACGTCGCAGTCGGCGTATGTTTGCGTGAAATGACGGGGCCGTCTACGAGTAAAAACAAAGTTGGTAAACCAGGATTCATGCAACCGTTTTACCGTCGGCAAGCAGGCACGTAAACTCTGTAGCTCGTCTGGACATACGCAATTAAGCAACTCAACCTTTTACACGCCAAACGCCCGGCAGAAAACGACTGGAGGAGACTGCTGACATGCTGAACGCCCGGTAGAGAACGACTGGAGGAGACTGCTGACATGCAAGGGGTGCAGAGAGACCGCAGCACACACTTCTGGGACCGCCCAAGCGCACGAACGTGCTAACGTCGCCTCATTCGACACTGGACTGGCATAACCGCAAAGCGCTCTGAAGTGTCAAACACTTGGGCCGCTGGGTCAACTGTCGAGCTCCAAGGTTACCCCGCCGACTATGTCAGCACGTGTAAGACCGTTACCACGATGTTTGCACTGCAACAAGGACCGAATTTCAGCGCATCTGATTCCTTTCAAGCTCTATCTGCCAAATGCACAATGGACCGAACGAAACGCGGCAATCTTCCGAGGCGGACCTACCTCTTCAGTATCGCGCGTCTCTCGATACTAGAAAACTCGCATCGGTTGGCTGAAGGCTGTCGCATTCTGCAAACACCGAGAAGCGGCAAGAGCTCTACGTGAGGCCCGAGCTCACGCATATCAGCAAGTGTTGCTTCCTCCAGCCACCGTGGGGTGCCCCGCATACACAGGTATCACCCACGACAAGGTGCACCTTCAGCTGTGTCGTGGCTCAGAGTGTCAAGGGTCCTGCACATAACAACACGTAAATAGACGATCGCGAAGCCCACGTACCAGGACGTGTCCTGGTACGCATCGTCCAACTTTTAGCTGCATTCGCGTAAACTATCGCAATGACTCCGCAACGCAGCACCTCATCCGACATGGCACTTTTCTCATCTCACACGGCCAAGCGCACCAGTCTGCCGACCTAATGCATTGTGAAGAACGTAAATGGTGAAGAACACGTGTCCGTGTACTTCCAACGTTGCGAAAGTGTGCAATCCGTAGACGATTACAATGTCCATTACAACGATCGGCCACGACGGAAGGGCCCACGATCGCCGCAGATTTCCACTTTCTGGAGAATTGCCTCCGCCGCAAACTACAAATGCAAGCACTTTAGATGTCGAGCAGGTGTCGAGAAAAATGACCGAGGCAGCTCGCTATAGATGCGGAACTATAAGGGTATATAGAGGAGACGAACGTCGTGACCCGCGAAGTGCCAACACGTGAATACGGCTTCACTCGCATCAATTCCGAGCTCCATAGATAGACAAAGCTGCAACGGAAGGCATACCAGCGCCTGCGCCGACGATGTCGTCAGTAAGTAAGCAGTGCAGATGATGACGACGGCTCTTTGCTTTGCGAGTAGTGCGAGGTGGTGGTAACGACAACGAAACCCGATTAACGACCCATTGATTTGCCTTGTAGCTTGAACGCAGCAATGCCGAGCAGCCCTTCGCAGCTTCTCGTCGTTGTCGATCTTAATTTGTAAAAGCGGATAAGTTAATGTGTGTTGTAAAGTAAGAACTCTGCTCGTAAGTCAGCTCATCTGCTATTGCTAGTTTTGGCTAACTCGAGGCGACTCGTCTGGTGGATACGGCGAAAGACAATTGGTAAGCTGCTGGTCGTCTATTTGCAACCGCTGCTGTTGGCAACTGTCGTCGATTTCGTCGCCGAAGATACGGTCTCCATTCTCCTCGGCAAATGAGACAAAGGCCTCGTTCGATGTAGACTATGCGTTTCCGACGAGAGATGACGCAATTGCCTAGAGTGGCGGGGTGGCAACGTCCTGGTGAAGCTCACGTTGTTGCTAAGGGTAGTCAGCGGTCTATTGTCGCATTTAAATGGCATAGGGCGGCGAACCTGCTTTCCGCTGCGATTCCCCCGCGCCGGCGATGATGGTGGGCATGCGTTACTTTCCATCGTTTGGCATACGCTGGCACTACTTCCTTCGCATCAGTCAGTCGTTTTGTGTAGCACCTGGCTCATGCTATGCCGTGTCGGACGTCAGAGCTGTTTCCGACTTTGCGGGCGCGGCCTCTGCCGCTTTGCACAGCACTTCGCCTTCGAAAGCGCTTCCTTTCCTATCTCGTCGTAGGTTCGTTGACGGTTCAACGCGCTACGCGGTTGCAAACTGATCGTCTTTCAAAATCCTTGAGATGCTGCATATTCATGCTGGAAGTATGTATTGACATGACAAGTTTGCGGAATGCAGTGAGCGGCCTAAGAGTATCACCCACTTTGAAGCTGTGAAATCTTACTATCTGATCGAAAGGGAGTAAGACGCTGTCAAGATACATTCACGTTGACCGTGATGACAGACGTGTCTTTTCATGTCGGACACGAGATGTTGGCGTCTTGTTCGTCGTAGTGGTAGTGGTGGTGATGAGTGTTTGTTGCGATGAGCCACTTGGCGTGTAAGTGGTGTCAGTAGCTGCAACCTTTCTGCTTTTTTGCGGCCGGTAGGACAAGACATTGCCACTGCTTTCAGACGGAGAACCACGTCGTTTTCTGCTTTAGGCTTGCGATTGCCTGTTCGTCGCACGATACAGCAGCGATGTATTCCCATGCATAAGGCTTGTGTTAGAAGTTGACATTTCGGATGTATCCGGGTACTAATTGTACGCCGGCGAAGTCTGCCAGGTAGTGCTGATTTAGTCTATAGGTGAGGAAGTTGAAGAAGGTTCTTAGCATAGGTAAACGTGTGACTGCCGCAGCACTGGGGTAGCTCATTTTGTGATCGGTAAGCCACTGAGGAGGCTCCCGTCGAGGGGCCGAAACGCGTCTGGCACGCGTCCGAATTTAAGGTCTTTTGTTATTCGTTC